GCACAGCTGGATGGCCGAGTCGAGTCCTGGTCGAGGCTCGACCAGGTCGCTCTCGTACACCTGGTAGCGGCTGGGCACTTCGCGGATGTGCGCCGCGCCCTCCACACGGTCCATCAGCTGCAGCAGCTGGCGGCGGCGCTCCTCCAGATCGTCCGGCGCGGGCTCGCGCGCCGCCGGCGCCGGCTCCGGCTGGCCGGCCGGCGGCGGTGCCTGCAGCGCGGCGGTCGCCGGCGGCGCGTCGCACAGCGAGGACAGCAGCGAGCGCTGTTCCGTCAGCTGGTGCGACAGCTGGTACATCTCGCCCTCCAGGTACTGGATCTCCTTGGCCGTGTGGATGAACTGTTGGTAGTTACGGTAAACATTCTTCTTGAGCTCGCTGCTCGTGCTCTCAGCGATCTGCTGAATCAGTTGGCGATGCTGGCGCAGCTCCAGGCCGCCCACGCATTGCTGCGTCACGTCCTGCACGAAGCGCGCCGGGTTGAAGTCCTCGGCTGTCAGCTGTTTCACCAGAAGCGGACTGTTGTCGGCCATTTTGACGCAGGTGTTGTCACGCTGCTGCCGACTCAACTCAGGCTGGCTGGCTCCTGGCACGTTCACTGGAGTCTCCAATGCTAACAGATGTCTGCAACTGGGCCAGCGAGCAGGCATCAGTCAGAACAGTATGCAACATGGGAGATGTCAGGAGTCATGACAACATGGGCTTAGCACCGATGTAGATATTGCTCTTACTATCTTGAACCGCACTGAACTAAGCCAAAAAGGATGGACTTTACAGCATGTGAATAACTCTTTTCATTGATGTAAAGCACATGTTTCAAAACAAACCATCCTAGCACTTCATGTATGTCAAACAACCCCATTTCAACACAAGCCATCTAGGAGCATTTTCACATAATGCAAATGATTCTGCTATTTGCAGGATGTAATGGCAATCAGATTATCATTAGTTGATGAAGTTTGCTACCATAGTGTGGCGCATTGAATAAAAACCCAGAGCAATAAAATGTTATGGTCTTGCAAATAGTGTTTTGGGTAAGTTAATGATGCAAAGATAACTGCTACAGGTAACTCATACTTTTGCATGAATGTTTCCTGATAAATGTATCAGCTGATTGCATCAATAAAATACCTGAATGATAGCACCATAGGGCCTATACCTTTAAGAGCATATGATAAATATGCAGAAATAGAGCCTAAATACATTCATACATGTTATATATCTATGCACAATCTACACATTTACACATGACCCAGAGCTATAATATTAATAATATATTTCAATATTTAACAGTGGAAAGACAGAAATGCCATGATGACATGGCATGACAATGACTATTCCAGCTTGACATCTCAATGACTTTCAGAGCCATCTCATGACTGGACCTTTATAGGGATACAGTGGTGATGTGGCAGTGGCCAGAACCCAAGATTGGTAGGTCAACAGCCGAGCACTGTTACCACCTTAACACCACTACCAGGAAAGATGGAAAGTTAAAACAATGAATGAGTCATGTGTGGGCAGTTGGGCATTTATGCACTTTTTATGACTTAATCTAAATAACACCTTTTCTTAATGTCTCAGCTGACAACTCTGGTGATGCCACTGCACAACACACATTCAAATATCAGGTGGTAAATGCATTACACACTCCACAGTCAACTAACATACAAGAAATGTCCCTGGCCCTGGTAGGTACCCTGCAGCAGAATGCACAAATGGTAAAAGTGGATGAATGTCAGAGGTAAGGATATACATGTGAAATGTAAAATAAAAGATAGGCAAAAATTAAATCTAAAAATATCTTAAAATGTAAAACATACAGGGATGAGCATGATGCTAGGTCTTTAAATAATGGAGATACAAATTATGAGCAAAAAGCAGAAGTGAAGATATGAAAGTATATTGTCAAGAAATAAATGGACAACACATGAGGTTACTATGAGAGTTACTGAAACTACATTCTTTCCCAACTTTCAAAATGACAAGTTAAAGATCAGGTCATGTTCCTCAATACCTGGTGTAATTACAGTATGTTTCAGGATAAAATGATTGGAAAGGGGAAGGGTTGTAGGTCAGACATGTATTGGCTTAGGCTAGAATGAACTAAGTTAAGTTAGGTCCTATGCTGTTAGGTTTTCACTTTATGCATAATCATGTGGCATTGGGTGCCTAGGTGGGATGAGGGCAGGTTTACACATGCAGATTGTGTGAACATTTACCATATCTTATTGATATATCCTGCTCCTACCATATTTCTTTACCAGGAAGGCCACACAAAGATGTTACTGCTTTACCACTGTCAACCCATTACCGCTCCACTGTCTTACACAGGAAACAATGCTGGATGGTGGGTATATAATAAGGGTAGAGCACATTGCAAATAAGGCCCAGATTTACAGTGTTTGTATATTGATATTTCTCAAATGCCACTGCTCCTCCACTTGATGTGACATGACTTAACTGTCTAGGTGTCTGCAATGGTTGGGACCAGGAACCTTGGCAGGTTTTGGTAAGATGACACTAGGAAAGAGATGGGGCAAACCTTTCAGTTTGCAGTGGTTAATCAACATATTGGGCTGAAATGATTTAATTGAACCAATAAGTAATGAAAATGTGTCCTATAATACACATTCTTGGTAAAACAAAAGAAGCAAACCAGATCACACAGAAAAATGTTTAAGGAGGTAACTAAGACAAACAAAATCTGACCCTGACAGACTTGGCTTTTTTTTACTTGGGTACCTGTATTGCCGACGGTGGGGAGAGAGCTACGCTGGCTGCAGGGTTCCTGTACTGCCATGATGGAGAAATGCTGTTAGGTATCAGCCGACGTAGTGACGTCACTGAAAATGGGTTTGCATCGATCTGGGTTCTTTTGGGCCGACTGAAGGCTACAAGGCATTTGCTAGCGATATGATGTCACTGGTATTCGACTGGATATGTGACGTCACTGGTTGTGAGGCTTTAGGGCTCTTTTGGGTGCAATGAATGCCGTAAAGCATCACCTGACGACATGTCGTCGCTGGTATTCAATGAAACATCAGGCGCAACGGGCCTTATTCCATCTTTACCTTTCGTACCTGTCTGCTGCAAGCATTTGCGTGCCGAATAAAGCTTGACCGAATCACCTGAATGTGTGACGTCACAATCACACTTGATACGAGTGCACTTAGGCCCCACGGCCCGCGGTGTATCATGTTCCGTGAAATATCACTGGGTATCGTGACGTCAGTGATATTCGACTAAATATTGGTCGCAACAGGTCAAGGTTCATTTTTAGCTTCGTACCTGTCTACTGCAAGCACTGGCGTGATGAATAAAAGCTACCAAATCACGTGAGTGTGTGACGTCACTGGTCATGCATTTTTATGGATCTTTGGGGGCCAACTGAGGGCCGTAAAGCATAGCCTAATGATGTGACGTCACTGGCATTCGACTGTGTGTGATGTCACTTGTGATCAGATTTTACGGCCTCTTTTGGGCCGACGAAAGGTCATACTACATTAACTGAAGATGTGCCGTCACTGGTATCCGAATACAATTCAGGCGGCCATGGCCATGCTCCATCTTTACCTTTGGTACCTGTCCATTGCAAGTATTTGAATGCTGAAGGAAGGGTCTGCCGAATTACCTGAGTGTGTAACGTCACTAACCATTAATTTGTATAGACTGTTTTGAACCCACTGTAAGCCATACCACATCAGCTGACCATATGACGTCACCGGTTTTCGTCTAGGTGTCATGCGCAACAGGCCATGCTCTATCTTTGCCTTTCGTACCTGTTTACTGCAAGCATTCGCGTGCTATATCAAGGTGATGCTGAACCATCTGAGTGCGTGACGTCACTGGTCATGAGTTTATACAGGTTCACTTGGGCAGCCCAATGCAACAAAGCATCATATCCTGTAAAGCATCGCGGGATGATATGACGTCACTGGTATTCGACTCAACATCAGGCTCAACAGGCCATGTTCCATCTTTACCTTTCGTACCTGTCTACTGCAAGCATTCGCGTGTTATATCACGTCATTGGTTAAGAGTTCTTACGGGCTTTTCAACCCCCTATATGGTATAATGCTTCAGTTGACGATATGATGTCACTGGTGTTCGACTTAGCATCAGGCACAACATGTCATGTTCCATCTTTGCCTTTCGCACCTGTTAAGTATTGGCGAGCCTAATGATGGCTCTGCCGAATCACCTGAGTGCGTCATCATGAGTTTTTACAGGCTATTGTTGGCCGGGAAAGCCATTAGGCATCATCTAACGATATGTCGTCACTGGTAATCCACTAAGTGTGTGACGCCATTGGTCATGAGTTTTCCCGCGCCTTTTTGGGCCGACTTAAGGCCATTAGGCATCAGGTAACGATATGACGTCACTGGTATTCAATTAAGCATCAGATATATGTCATGTTTCATCTTTACCTTCCGCACCTATCTACTGCAAGTATTCGCGCGCCACATAAAGGCTCTGCCCAATCACCTGAGCGTGTGGTGTGACTGGTTATGAGTTTACGCGGGTTTACCCGGGCTGACTGAAGGACATCAAGCATCATCTGGCGATTTGACGTCACTGGTATTCAACTTAACACCAGGCGCGACAGGCCATGTTTCGTCTTACCTTTCGTACCTGTCTATTGTAAGCATTGACATGCTTAAGGAAAGCTCTGTGAAATCTCCTGAGTGTGTAATGTCACTGGTCATGAGTTCTTTACGGGCTGCTTTTTTGTACCTATAGGGTACAAGACATCAGTTGACGATATGACATCACTGGTATTTGACTTAATCTCAGGCGCAACAGGTCATGTTCCATCTTTGCCTTTCGCACCTCTATACTGCAAGTATTCGCGCGCTACATAAAGGCTCTGCCGAATCATGAGCAGGTGGTGTAACTGGTCATGAGTTTACGCGGGCTCTACTCGGGCTGACTGAAGGACATCAAGCATCACCTGACCATATGACGTCACTGATATTCGGGCTGTGGCCCAGACTTATGGCCGCTAGGCGGCGCCCTTGATTTATTTAGCCATCAGGGCATTCCGGACCGTAGTGCTCAGGGGCGCATCCTGTGATGTCGGGCGGAATAGCTTTGCATATACGTCGGTTTGTGGGCTGGGATCACCTTTGTTTTGTGTTTACGTTTGTTCAAAATTTTAGTCGTTGAAACAGCCCGTTGCGTTTGAAGTTGTTACTTAATGGTGCGCACAATAAAATTAGTGTGCTTAACTATGGTGCATCTCCACCTCTGCTGGGAACTCCGTAGCCGTAGGTGGCCAAGTGACCTCCTACCAACTGATGATCAGTGACGTCACATACTCAGATGATTCGGCGGAGCCTTCATATAGCACGCGAATTTGTAGCAGCCAGGTACGAAAGGCAAATATGGAGCATGACCTGTTGCGCCTGATGTTTAGTCGAGCACCAGTAACGTCATGTCGTCAGCTGATGAATTATAACCTAAAATGGGTTCAAAGAGCCCGTAAAAAACTCGTGACCAGTGACGTCACCACTCAGGAGATTCGACGGAGCCTTCATTCAGCACGTCAATACCTTTAATAAACAGTACAAAAGGTAAAGAAAGTACGTGGCATGTTGGACCTGATGTTACGTCGAATAACAGTGACGACATATCATCCTGTGATGCTTCACGGGAGGTGTTGCTTTGTAGCCTTGGGCGGCCCAAGTGAATCCGTATGAACTCATGACCAGCGACGTCACCCACTCAGATGATTCGTCTGGAGTTTAGTCGATTACCAGTGACGTCATATCGTCAGCTGATGCTTGATGTCCGTCAGTCAGCCCGAGAGTAAACCTGCACAAACTCGCCAGTTGCACCACACGCTCAGGCGAATCGACAGAGCCTTTTTGTAGCGCACGAATACTTGCAGTAGGCAGGTGCGAAAGGTAAAGATGAAACATGGCTTATTGCAACTGATGTTAATTCGAATACAAGTGACGCCACAACGTTATCTGATGCCTAATGACCTGAACCCGGCCAAAAAAGGCCCGTAAAAGCTCATGACCAGTGACGTCACACACTCAGTGGATTACCAATGACGTCATTTTGTTAGCTGATGCCTTATGGCTTTCGCTCAGCCAAAAATAGTTGGTAAAAATTCATGACCAGTGACGTCGCACACTCAGGTGACTCGGCAGAGCCATCATTTAACGCACCAATACTTTACAGGTACGAAAGGCAAAGATGGAACATGACCTGTTACGCCTCATGTTAAGTCGAACACCATTGACATCATGTCGTCAACTGATGCATTTTTCCCTATAGAGGGTTCCAAGGAGCCAGAAAAAACTCATGACCAGTAACGTTACACACCCAGGAGACTCGACAGAGCCTTCATTCAGCACGTCAATACTTGTAATAGACGGGTACGAAAGGTAAAGATAGAACATGGCCTGTCGCGCCTGATGTTAAGTCGGACACCAGTGACGTCATATCATCAGCTGATGCATTATACCGTTTGGGGGTACAAAAGGTCCCGTAAAAAGCTCTTGACCAGTGACGTTACTTACTCAGGAGACTCGACAGAGCCTTCATTCAGCACGCCCATACTTCCAAGAGACAGGTACGAAAGGTAAAGATGGAACATGGCCTGTCGCGCCTGAGTTAGTCGAATACCAGTGACGTCATATCGTCAGCTGATGCTTGATGTCCTTCAGTCAGCCAGAGTAAACCCGCGTTAACTCATAACTAGTTACACCACACGCTCAGGTAATTCGGCAGAGCCCCTGTGTCGCGCGAATACTTGCAGTAGATAGGTGCGAAAGGTACAGACGAAACATGGCTTAGATGGAGCATGGCCTGTTGCGCATGATGTCTAGTCGAACCAGTGACATCATATCGTCAGCTGATGCCTTGTGGCCTATAGTAGGCTCAAAGAGTGTGCAAATTAATGGTCAGTGACGTACACACTTAGGTAATTTGGCAGAGCCTTCCACGGCAATGCTTGCAATGGACAGGTACCAAAGATAAAGGTGGAACATGGTCTGTCGCGCCCGAAGTTCATTCGAATACCAGTGACGTCACATCTTCAGTCAGTGCCGTATGACCTTTCGTCGCCCAAAAGAGGCCGTAAAACCTCATGACCAGCGACACGCAAGTCGAGTGCCAGCCGACGTCACATCGTTAGCTGCTGCTTTATGGTCTTCAGTTGGCCGCAAAAATCCGCCAATACTTGCAGCAGACATGTACGAAAGGTATAAATGGAGCATGGCCTGTTGCCTGATGTTCAGCCAAATACCAGTGACGTCATATCGCCAGCTGATGCCTAACGGCATTTCGTCGGTCCTATAGGGCCCGTGGAAACCCACGGCCATTGACGTCTTACAGTCGTATAGCAGTGACGTCGTTAGCTGACACCTTGTGGTCTTCAGTTGGCCGAAAAGCACCGTGGAACTCATGGCCATGTGTCATACACTCAGGTGGTTCGGCAGCTTTCATCCAGCACGCCAATGCTTGCAGTAGACAAGTACAAAGGTAAAAATGAAGCACGGCCTGTTGCGCCAGTTTTTATTCGAATACCAGTGACGTCACGCTATCCGGTGATACTTCACGGACCACGACACACCGTGGTCGTGAGGCCTAAGTGCACTCGTATGAAGTGATGATTAGGGACGTCACACATTGGGGTAATTCGGTCAAACCTTTATGCGGCACGCAAATGCTTGCGGCAGACAGGTACGAAAAGTAAAGATGGAACGAGGCCGGCCGCGCCTGATGTTCAATCGAATACCAGTGACGACACATGGCCAGCTGATGCATTACGGCATTCAGTGGACCCAAAAGAGCCTTTACACTCACGACCAGTGACGTCACATACCCAGCCGAATACCAGTGACCATATCACAAGCAAAAGCCTTATGGCCTTCAGTCGGCCCGAGAGAACCCCGATCCCGATCGATGCAAAACCATTTTCAGTGACGTCACAATGTTAGCTGATGCCTCACAGCTTTTGCCCCGCACGACAATACTCGAAACCCTGCAGCTAGCGTAGCTCTTCCCTCCGTCGACCATACAGGTACCCAAGTAAAAAATTACCACAGACTTTTGAGTATCCTATCTGAGACAGAATTCTGTCCACCCCATGCTTGGTTGCAGATTGGGGCATGGTTAGGTAGCCTCGGGCATGGTCACGCTGGATCACGAGTTTCACTTCGCACAGCTTTCCATGCACAACCCATCAGAACAATTGAAGCAATAACTACCTGTGCAATGGAGACCTTTAGAGCACTTGAAATCACCACAACTCAAATAAAAACCTCGAAAAGTGGAAACATATTCATGCTCCCCCAACCTTATTGTTAGACGCCTGTCTCTTGCAGAGTAATAGCTTGCAGGGTGTAATGCAGGGAAGGGTGTAATAGATACTGGGTAGAACGAAGTTTAGTACAAAAACCTACGGCATATTTTGAAAGACACACTAGATGTGCATGGTATACTAAATTGCTAGTTTAGGCTAATATTTGGCAGCCGGTAACTGAAGGTAGCGTGGCGCAG